CCAAAGTTTTGCTATAAATTTTTAATTTCATTGTTTTGTATTCATAAGATGTTTTCTATAATTTGCATTTTGATGGACAAGCATGGTTGAAAAGTTATTTTATGGTAAGGATAGCACTGCAGATTAGTGGAAAAGGATGAGCTTTTCCATAAATGGTGCTGGGTCAACTGGATATTCCAAATGGGAAAAAAATCTTGGCCTCTACCTTATACCACATAAAAAACCCAATTCCAGATAAATTGTACACTTAATTGAGGAAAATAAAATAATAAAGCTTCTAGAAGATAACTCAGTAAAACATCCTCATTATCTTGGGAGTAAGCAAAAATTCCTTACAATTCAAAAAGCTTTCATTATAAAGGAAAATACTGCTAAATTTGATTTGTATTAAAAGAAAGAACTTTCATTCATCAAAAGACTTAAGTGAGAAGGAAAGTCACAGAATGGAAGAAGCTATTACTTTGATAGGAGTTCTGGTAGCGTAGCGCCTAAGGCACTTGACTGCTAACCAGAAAGCTGGCAGTTCAAACCCACCAGCCACTCCTCGGAAGGTAGGTTGGGCAATCTACTTCCATTCTACTTCCATAGTGACACCACCTCGGAAACCTACAGAGGGGTCGCTATGAGTTGGGTCCAACTCGATGGCACATAACAACATTACTTTTATGACCCTGAAGCGCTTGTATCCAAATTATATGACTCATTTGTGGTAATTTTGTCCTACATGTTCCATCCGTTACATTCCAGCTGGATTACAGATTTGTCTATTTCTCTCTGTACTTCTTTCTACTTTTGTTTCTGGCTGTGAGAGATTGAGTGCATTTCTGAACTTGAATTGTAGCCTGTTGCTTTCCTAATAACCCCCATAATCTGTGAGTTCTGTGTGGCCACATGTGTGTACATGTAAGTATATACATATATATATGTGTGTGTGTATTTAAGTATACACACACACACACACACACAAGAAACAAAAGTAGAAAGAAATACAAAGAGAAATAGATATACACATATATGTATATAATTTTTTTAGTCATATTATTAAAAACAAACAAACTCACTGCCATTGAGTCAATTTCAATTTACAGTGACCCCCTTTGGGTTTCTAAGGTGGTAAATGTTTACGGAAGTATATTGCGCAGTCTTTCTTCTGCAGAGTGGCTGGTGGGTTTGAACTACCAACCTTCTGGTTAGCAGTCAAATGCCTTTGTCATGTTATTAGGTGCATATAAGTTTAAAGCCTTTAATCAGTATAAAATGACCATCTTTACCACCAGTTTTCTTTTGGTTAACTCAGTGGACACAAGGAGTATTGCGGTGTAGTAAATTACCTGGTATGGCTTTTCTAGCCATAAGTCTTTGTAAACCCTGTGGTGAAATTTACCATGAGAAACTGAGTAGCTCCTGAATGGTATTTCTGTTAAGGGTGAAATGAAGCAATCTTCTGGGAAGTTCTCTCTCTCTCAGATGTATAGAATTCTGATGTTGGGACTGGTTAGTTTGGCCACTCTGCTAGGCTCAAAAGGAGCCCTCCTAGAGGCAGAAGAAGTCTCTCTGACGTTTGGCTGAGAAAGACATGCGGCTGAGAGAAACATGCTCCTGAGAGACATGCACTTGCTGAGAGACAACCGCTGAGAGAGACACGAGAGATATGTGCTGCTGAGAGACTGCTGGCTGCTAATTGAGACAGCTGGCTGCGAGAGAGTGAGTGCATTTCTGAACTTGAATTGTAGCCTGTTGCTTTCCTAATAAACCCCATAATTTGTGAGTTCTGTGTGGCCACTGTAGCAAATTACTGAACCCAGCAGAGAGGTGGTGGGTGCTGCGGGAGGAACGGTTGGTGTCAGGGTTGTGAAATGGCTGGGAGACAGCATGTTTGGCCTCTCAGGAATAGGCCTTGGGCTACAGATGGTGAGTCTGTTTTCCTCTTGTGATTAGGGGTCAGAAGGTATGGCGTCCTCACCCCTTTCACAAGTATTTTTTCCACTGCTTTATTTTTATATTTTATATATTTTGTTTACATGAATTACTTAGAATCAGTATATAGGATTTTTTTTTTTTTTAAATCTTTGTTCTTTAAAATTGGAACATTCAGTACATTTCATGTAATTTGGGGTATTATCAAGGTTTAAATCTGCTAGGGAATCTCAAGGTGGTACAAATGGTTAACGTGTTTTGTTGCTAACCAAAAGGCTGGAGGTTTCATCTACCCAGGAGAACCTTGGAAGAAAGGCCTGGTAATCTACTGCGAAAAAATCAGCCACCGAAAACTCTATCAAATGCACTTCTACTCTGACATGCTAGAGGTTGTCATGTTGTTGTTATGTGCCGTCAAGTTAACCTGACTTATGAGTTTCTAAGGCGGTATCACTATGGAAGTAGATTGCCCCATCTTCCTTCCAAGGAGTGGCTGGTGGGTTTGAACCACCAGCTTTCTGGTTAGCAGTCAAGTGCCTTAGGCACTGAGGTTGTCATAGGCTGGAAATAACTCAACAGCAAATGCTTTCGAAAATCTGCTAAACTTACTATATACTGCTTTCTAAATGTCCTCCTGTTCTATATTTCCTTTCCTTTCCTATTCTTTCTTTGGGATTAATCAATTTTTATTATCCCATTTTTTTCTATTACTTTGCAAGTTACATATTCCACTCATCTTTTTGGTGGTCACTTTACTGATTACAATATACATCTAACTTATCAAATTATACTAATGTACTTTTATATACATCTAGAAAGACCTCTGAATACTTCAATGCCACGTATTCCTCCCAATTTGTTATTATTGTCATATGTTTAATTTTACATATACTATAAACCATATCAGACATATTTTTTGTTTTTCATACTCAATACTCCTTTAGTTCTACTCACACACTTCTGTTGCTCTTTTTTCCTTTCTGCATCTTTGACCTTCCACTTGACATCATTTTCTCTTTATCTGAAGAACAACCTTTACTACTGTCTTCAATTGGTATAATGATAATTCCCTCAGGTTTTATATGTCTCAAAATGTCCTTATTTCATTTCCATTCCTGAAAAGTATTTTTGCTGATATAACAGAATTCTAAGTTTGCAATTATTTTTCTTTCAACACACTGAAGGTATCATTCCTTTGGGTTCTGGACTCTTACTATTCCTGCTGAGACATTAGCTATTAGTCTAATTACTGCTTCTTTGAATGTAACTTTTTTCCCCCCTCTGGCTGCTTTTAAGACTTTCATATTTTCTTTGGTTTCCTGCAGCTTCATTAGAACAAAGTTAAGTATAGAGTTCTTTTTATTTGCATAGGGCGTGTAAAAGGAGCTCTGGTAGCACAGTGCCTAAAGGCATCTGACTGCTAACCAGAAGGCTGGTGGTTCAAACCCATCAGCCACTCCACAGAAGCAAGACTGGGCAACCTACTTCTGTAAAGATTTACCACCTCAGAAACCCAATGGGGGTTGCTATCAGTTGGAATCGACTTGATAGCCGTGGGTTTGGGTTTTTGTTTTTGTTTTAAATGGTGTGTAAGGCTTCTTGAATCTATATGGCTTTATGTACTATTTCTTCAAATATGTTTTCCACTATGCATATTTTTTCCACTCCTTCTGGAACTTCAGTTAGATATGTTAAACCTTCTCATGTCTCTTCATCTCTTACAATTTCAAAACAACAGTAAAACTTATGAAAGCCAGAACCCATATAAGGCAGAAACCTGTCAGAGATGGAAAACTCAAGTATTTCCCACTAAATCGAGCAAAAGAAAAGTGGTAAGAATGCATCCTGTCCAAGACGGAAAACTTGCCAGACCCAGAAAAGCAAGACAGTCCCACTGAGTTCTGGCTCTCACAGGTCTCACTGTACGTTGCTCTGACAAACTTTTTAATCTTTTATGTTCCTGAACAGTCTTTTGGTAAAAGTGGTGTCTAAAATTCCTAAATCTAGATTAGGTATATTTTTATCTTTATTACTACTGTTTCATGTTTTTGTTGCAAATCTAGTCATCTTTGACTATGTGCCAATCTGTGTATGTGAAAAATGTACAGATAATTTGAAGCCTATGATTATGTTATCTTTGATTTGAAAGGATTTCTATTTGCATATCCCAGGAGCCTAAGAGCATTAGCCAATTGGTTAAGAATTGCTGTAATCAAATTCTGAAATTGAGATTTTCTAGGCTATTATATAACTTAAAGCTGGGAATAAGTACAAACAAGAGCTATTATAACTTCTACATCATCCTTAATCATAAGGTGTTATTCTTTGGAGTTTTAACCAAATTTAATTCCAAATTTTGTCTCCCTAGGAGCTCTGGTGGCATAGTGCCTAAGGCACTTACTTGACTGCTAACCAGCAGGCTGGTGGTTCAAACTCACCAGCTACTCCTTGGAAGGAAGGTTCTGTAGTGATACTGCCTTGGAGACCCAAGGAGGGGTCGGTAGGAGTTGGGTCCAACTTGACGGCAAATAACAACAACCTTGAGGCTGTCAAAAATATGGATCATCTCTCAGTTGTGTCTTCCAGAAGAGTCAAACATGCCCCCACAACCAAAAAAAAAAAAAAAAAGTTCTAAATGTTGAGCTTGCTTCTTTCGATTTCTATCTTCTGTTGGTTCTTGGCTTAGTGATTCTTTCCTATCTTGTTACTCTAATGACAAGCAGATTTTTAAAACATGTTGACTAGCTATTAACAGGAAAGTCAGTTCAAATCACCTAGACTCGATGCTAGAATCAAATGCCCTCTAACAAATGCACATTTTATTCTTAAGCATTATGAACCACCTTACTTCAGTTTTTTTTAACATGTTCCTTCCCCACTGTAACTCAATCTTTTCTGTTATTTTCCTTTTGTATCACGGTATATTCTTTTATCCTACTTTCTGAATCCATTTTTTCTAGATTTTTCTCCTGAATACATCATAGTTGTTTATTCCAACTTACTGGAACAACCTATTAGAGAACCACTTCCATTAAAAACAAACAAAAAGTATAAAAAAAGAAGCATTTCCATCTTATACTTACTGTAAACTCTTCTTCCTCTTCATCACCAGATTCTCCAAATATGTCTGCAATAAGGTTTCTATAGGAGAAACAAATACAGAAAAATTTATTTTCCTCTCATTTGCCTAAGAACCATTAAACCTTTTAAACATGTAGCATAATTTACATACAGTAAAATGTACAGATCTTAAGTGTACAGTTCAGTGGGTTTTTATAAATGTACACACTCATGTAACCAACATCCTTATCAAGATACAAAGCAATTTCATCTTCTCAGAAAGTTCCCTAATGCCTCTTTCTAATCAATCCCCTACATCAACACCCTGGAGGCCAATTTCTATAACTAAAGATTAATTTTGTCTGTTCCTGAACTTCATGTTAATGGAATGAATCATACAACATGTCCTCTTTGCTTCTTTCACTTGAAACAGTATTAGTAAGATGCAGCAGTTCAGACACTAAAACTAAAAACCTGAGTCCCCAAGTTATGCATTTAAGTAGTACATATTGTATTACATATATCTCAACAGGAAATTGTAATAGAAGTTTACAAAAACTTGAAAGACATCCCTTCTCCTTCACTTTTTAAGAACCCTTGAAAACTCACATCACACTGTCACTTACTCTTCTTCATTCCCTGACTCACTGTCACTCCCAAATAGATCGTTCTCTTCATTTTTCTTATCAGACAATTCTTCTTTCCCTACTTCTTCTTCACTGTCCGATGCTACAGTCTTGTCTCTTCTGTCTGCTTTTCCTGATATTACATCACTGTCAGAATCATCTGCATCAGAGACAATACGACTCTTCTTTGCTGTCATAAAACAAACAAACAAAAAACCAACCTTTTTGTCATAGTTATTGTATTGTATTACTAAGAATAACCTTTAAAATGGTACTATGTGGCAAAAATCAAAGGGCCTACTGTCATATGGTTCACAATTAAAAAAAATAAGTAACCAAAAGGCTCAGAGTCATGTTACAATTATGTGTTACTTTGCTTAAGAAAAAGTGCCAGAAAGATTGGGGATTGGTGGTGGGAGGAAATCAATATAAGAGTGAGTATTAAAGGTTACGTTTTCTTTTGAAGGACAGAGAAAATAAGATTAGACTGATGTGCAGAACTGGCAATCCATCTATGCTGCCTAGTGTTAGTGGAACTGAAAGGATTAGATGTTCTTTGGTAGAATCCCCAAATCGTTCTGCTGTGCATGGGGTCGTTATGAGTCGGAAACGACTTGAGGGTACCTAACAACAACAGCAGAATCCCCATGCGTTTGAAGTGTTGCCAGTCAGCATGGAATTTCTCAACTTCCTTCACAAACTGGCAGTGTGTGCACTCTATTTTCCCTTCTATAAAAACTGTAAGGTTAAAAGGGAATAAATACCTCTTTTCCAAAGAAAGATAAGTTTTATAACAAAACAATCAAGTAAAAATTATCTGTTAAAATGGAGTCCTAGGTAGCAGACAGGAATACTGTCTTTCTCCTTCTCCCCATCTTTTTCTTCATGTTCATGACTATCAATTTTCTGACTTTTGGCTTCTTCCTCACTGTCAGAACTGTGAAACATTTTCCTCTCTGTCTGGTTATCTGAATGAAAGGAGTCATTTTGAATTTCTCCATCCTCTCCCCTGTTCTCCCCATTGCTGTCATCATCAGACTCAGGCTTTTGTTCATGCCTGGAGGCATTCTCAGTTTCTGAATAGCTGGCTCATCCCTTCTGTGGCTCTTCACTCTCAGAGTCACTGACTCCAGGTTTGGGACACTTGGAGTGTCTAAATATAGTCCCCTCTAAAACTTCCCTGCGTTTGGGTATTTAATAATATTTAACAAATGAAAAGAGGTACCAATGTTAGATCTAATGGGATCTAAAGAAGCAGTTGTCAAAGAGACACACAGATAACTCTGTATACAGCAAATGGTTTTCACGTACACATCTTTCTTTGAAACATTACTCATTCTGGTAAAAAACAACTTTTTATATTCCCATTGACACTCAGGGTCTAGTTTACTTTGAGTCAATTAGAACTTAACAAAAGCTGCTCAATAACTCAAAGAAAACTTAATATTAAGAAGAGCCAATGAAAACCAAGGGAAACTAGTTCGAGTGACATTTTAGAACATCAAGCTGAAAAAAAGAATATAGATCTAACATAATAGAAAACAAGTTATCATCACAGTTATAAATTTAGACAATAAATACGGCTATGTCCAAAAATAACTGCTTACATGCTTTTTCTTCATCTTCACTATCAGAGAGGACAGCCACTTTCCGTTTTGCTACTTTCTCCTCCTCCCCGTCTTTTTCTTCATCTTCATCACTACCAATTTTCTGCCTTTTGGGTTCTTCCTCCTCACTGTCAGAACTGTGAAACCTTTTCCTCTCTGTATGGTTATCTGAATGAAAGGAATCATTTTGCATTTCTCCATCCTCTCCCCTGTTCTCCCCACTGCTGTCATCATCAGACTCGGGCTTTTGCTTGTGCCTGGAGGCTTTCTCAGTATCTGAATCACTGGCTCGTCCCTTCTGTGGCTCTTCACTCTCAGAGTCACTGACTCTAGGTTTGGGAAGCTCCTCACTTTCTGAGTCACTGACTTGGGGTTTGGGAAGCTCCTCATTTTCAGAGTCAGTGGCCTGGTTCCTTGGGGGGTCCTCACTTTCTGAATCACTCATTTGGGGTTTTGGAAGCTCTTCATTTTCTGAGTCACTGGCTGGGTGCCTTGGAGGACCCTCACTTTCTGAGTCACTGATGCGGGGTTTGGGAAGTTCCTCGTTTTCAGAGTCACTGGCTTGGTGCTTTGGAGGGTCCTCACTTTCTGAATCACTGATTCGGGGTTTAGGAAGTTCCTCAGTTTCAGAGTCACTGGCCTGATTCCTCTGAGGTTCCTCACTTTCTGAGTCACTGATCTGAGGCTTAGGAAGCTCCTCACTTTCTGAATCACTGACCTGAGGTTTAGGGAGCTCCTCATTTTCTGAGTCACTTCCTCGGTGCCTCACAGGTTCCTCACTTTCAGAATCACTGACTTGAGGTTTTAGAGCATCCTCTGTCTCAGACTCACTGGCAGGACTTTTCTGGAGCTCTTCAACTTCTGAATCACTAGCAGGATGTTTTTGAACATCTTCGTTTTCTGAGTCACTCACGTGCCCGTTAAGCAGTTCTTCATTTTCAGAGTCACTAACAGGCAATTTCCTGGTCTCCTCACTCTCAGAGTCACTCCTGTGGTGATTCATAATCTCATTTTCAGAATCACTTATAGGAGGCTCTGGATGCTCTTCGGATTCTGAGTCACTATCCTTTTGCTCATGAAGCTCCTCACTTTCAGAGTCACTAGCATTAAGATTTTGGAGGTCATCATTCTCAGAGTCTGTCACATGATGCCTCTTGGTGAGGCAATCTTCTCGATCACTAGGTTCATTCTGAAAAATGAAGTGAGAAAAAATCAGGAAAGTGCAAAATAATTTTTGGTAGTGAAAGGTTAAAAAGTTTTAACACTTCTTAATGTAGGAATATCCATAGTCAAATGGAGAATTATTGTCATAGACCTATTGTGGTAGTTAAGGTTGTGTGTCAACTTGGCTGGGCCTGGCTGAATGGCTGGGAAGCTAGTGGTAATTATTCCCCAGAATGAGAGTGACAATCCGTTCAATGTGGGATCTACCACAAGCAGCTGAGTAGCTGCTTTAGGGATGTGGTCTGCTTCCAGTATATAAGAAGCGGTTTTGGGAATGGTCTCTAACTTATGGCATGCCTGAACCCTGAATATTTTTTTGTTGTTGTTTTTAAGTGCCATCAAGTTGTTTCTGACTCATAGAGACCCCATGCACAGCAGAATGAACACAGCCCAATTCCGCGCCAGCCCCACAAACCCTGCTATACTTGAGCGCATCGTCGCAGCCACTGTGTCAGTCCATCTCGTTGAAGGCCTCCCCCTCTTTCGTCGACCCTCCACCCTACCAAGCATGACATCCTTCTCCAGGGAATGGTCCCTTCTTACAACAT